AGTTTTTTGCAAATTACTCGTTAACTACTGATGCTAGCGAAATTTTATTCAGAAATTGTAGATCTCGTCGTCCTCTACAAGAAAGGTCATATGCAATTTTTCCGTATGTCCAACGGTTTGGGAGTTATTGGCCAAAAACGAAAATTTGGAAGAAATTGAAGGGATACCCCTTGGAAAAATCTCGGAAAAATCGAAAATTTTTTTTTGTTGTTTATTATTAGCAATGTTCTTCCGACGTCTGATTTCTTTTTAAAAAATGCGTTTCTAAAGTACATAAACTTTTGGGATCGACTGTATAGCCAATACATCCTTAAATGTCATGGCACCCACTTGGCTTACAATAGTTCCACGCTCCTGCATATCGAATGCACTGTTCAAAATTCAACACACTTCTTTCATAGGTGCATAAAAATCTAGTTATGGTTTTTTGAATTAGAATTGCCGAGATAATTGGGCTTTTAATACGATACCTCTCCCCTCACCTTGATGGGGCGGTAAGTAGGAACCGTGATCCGAAGAAGGATAATCGTTGAAAGCTGGCCCGTAAACGGGCCGAGGGGGTTGCTGCACCGGTGGTCCGTAAGTAATTCTAGGAGACGACGTTCGACTCGGTAACGTGTACGAATCGCTTGGAACCATAGAATATCCGTCCCGGTCGGGCTCGTTCTGAACACGCGAGGAGGCGACGAACACTGGTCCTTCTTTCCTCCGTTGAAACGATCCAGACTTGATCGGCGTCTGTCCGCTAGAAGGTACGATCCCTTCGCGCGGATCCGTGCTGGTTCGAGAGTGCTTCAGAGCTTCCAGATAGCTGTCTCCGTTCCGTGTCGTCGGACCGACGATCTTCGTCAATGGTTTCGTCGACGGAGCATCGATCAGCACTTCCGAATTTCGCGCTTCCATCGGCAGAAGAGATGCCCCGTCTTCGCTCGGTTTGGCCCGAACGATCGTGGTATTGTTCGCGGACTTTGAACTCGCGGATGCGATTCCGATGATGAAGAACAGCGACGCGAGAACGCGAAACCCTCGCGGACTCGTCCTATTCTTTGAGATCATCGCTCACTGCTCGTAGCTCGATTAAGATAGAAACGCGTCGTTTGGAAACGATTTTTCGTAATGATTCGCGAAGCTCGGAGTTTTCGAGTGAGAACGATTCGACGAGCAAGGGAACATTGAAGCCTGTTTTCCTTCGAGGCTTCTTGGCCCCTCGAACGAAACATAAACGACTCGTCGCGGAGCATATTAAACGCGTAACGGTCGTCCTAGAGCTCTGTATTCGACGATTGTTCTCGCCTTTGGATCGGGACCGGGCGGGTCCGATGCAATCGTTATGCGACGCCCGATCTTCCAATAACGGTTCCGTCGAACCTCCCACGATACACCCGATCCACTGGCACACTTGGAAATCGGTCACGGCGCGTGCCGACGCGTTCACGGAAAGGGAAACTCGATCGATGCCTCGTGGTTTGGTTCCTGGGCAACGCGAATAAACGGGCCATCTGGGACTCGATCCGCTTTTAATTAACGCGTATATCATGCCGTTCGTAAACGTCGAAACGTCGTAAGTGTTTCGTCTACTAGATACGCGTTTCTATCTTAATCGTGACAACGATATTGTTCCACGCAGGTGGATAAAATTTGGAAACTGTCGGAAGTTCGCGTTCGTAGGTCGAGACGCTATAGCGATGGCCTCAGGTATACATCTTCGTTTTCACGAACCGACGAAAGGTGGGAATTGGAAAACGCGGATCGAACGATTCGCAGACGACGAAAGAGGAGACGGAGTCTCCTGTTTAGCAGGATTGACGGTGAGCTGAATTCCCTCTCGTTTCTTGAATCATAAACGTCGACTCGTTTCTCATCTCATATGAAAAGGGTATTGAATCGATTATTATGAATGTCATAAGCTGGCACCGATCTTCTCCGTGGTCGAGAGAAGATCTAATCCCCGAGTCTCGGTATTCGCTTATCCGACGATGCGAAGAATCAGTCGATGCGCAGAGAGTGAAAAAGCGATCGGGTATCTGTGTTGCGCGTTCGCCGGTACGGAGTATCTCGTCGGGCAAGCAACTTTTCCGGACTTTCAGCTGACGCTTTGGCGATGGAGAACCGGCGAACGGCTGACGACGATCGCGGGAGATCCTGCTACGTTCGACGTAGCCGTCACGCGAATCGCGTGAGTAAACAGAATCTATCGCATCGGGTAGATAATAATGGTATTACTTTCGTTTGTTACTACGATCAAATTAGACAGATAAACGTTGTACGGCTGGGTATCACAGCTTTATCGTCACGGTGACACCGTATGATCGGATGATACGAATACAAAGCTTACAGGTGTTCGAACGATTCACCCTATCTGGTATCTCGATTCACGGCATCGACTCGCGTATTATCCGTGCATCGGATCTTAACGTGCTCGAGAACTACCCGTCTGTTTCCGATCGAAACGGATGAAGCGTCGCTCATCTCTTGTACTTGGTCTCCCGATGGAACTCTGTTCTGCTGCGACGAGCTTCGCAATGTTTGGTCGGTCGATTTCGACAGACAAGAGGACGACAATTGTCGCGTTCGGACAATCGTCAAAGCCGACGAGGATCGTTTGTCGAGTAAACTCATGCTGATTGCTCAAAAGGAGGGAGTGATAATCGTGGAATCCTTATCGGACAACGACGTTCGAGCCACGGTAGGTTCGTTCACCAGTTCATAAAATAACGACTCAGATTCGCGGTGTATTACAATAATTAAAAGCAATGGAATTAATCCGCGGACACTGAGAACTTCAAGCTTCTAGTTTTATAAAAACCAACGAAAGAGTCGTAACGACGAATGGACGCCGATTTGGACTCACTCGTTGCCGTCGTACCCGAGGCACGCGGAGAGCGACTCGCGGCGAGGTCGAATCGTGATTCTCGGTGAAAACGGCGATCTCTATGAAATGCACGTACTTCGTTCTCCTCGCATCGAGTTTCTGTCAAGGAAGGATCGAGCGAACTACGAGGTCCTCGGACGTTTGTCCGATTTTCACTTAGGAGCTTTGGATCGAACCGACTGTCTGACGATTCTCGAGGCAGCCACAGGAGATCTCGTGTCCCAAACGAAACGGTTATCTCATCACGGAAAAGGTCGGCAAGGGAAAGAGATTTTCTCGTCTGGGATTTACGAAGTATTCTACGTTGAAATACGTTTCAGTTAGTCATTCGAATTTCCATCCGGTGTTACCGATACTAGCGTGCTGCAGCGTCACAGGAAATTGCGTTCTTGTGGACGCATCCACGCCTCGTTTTCCGAAGATCACTGGCTGCGCTCACCTTCAACGAGAACCGTTCAATCTCGTCAAGTTCTCCGAGGGTGGCCGACTTCTCGGGGTTGCGGCTACCCCGTTGGGGAGACTGTTTCTATTGCTACTCGGCATCGAAACGTCGATGAAAGTCATGGCTTGGCTGGACGTCGAGAAAAGAGTGAGCCTACAGTCCGTTCTCTTTCGAGATATGCGACAGATACCGTCTCATTACAAATATTTGCGTCAGGTGATCGACTTTCTGATTTACGAGACGGAACAAAGTGCGAGAGCCTTAGTCCTCTGCGGGGATTCCCGAACCGGGAACGAAATCGCGGTTTACTCTTGTCGATTCTCTGATCCAGTGCGAGAACGCGTGACGGAGTTACCATCTTCCTTTGAAAGTATTCATTACGGAGGAAAGATGCGACTAATAGGAATTCCATATTTGACGAAACAGCTGCATCGAATAGAGTTGAAGGTATCGATCATTAGTAACGGCGAAGATCCAAAAATCGTCAGAGCAATCCGACATAACTTCGTCTCATAGGAGAATCTAGCTTCCCTCTCAGAGGCTCTACCGTCGTTGCATCAAATGAAAGGAATCGAGGTCCAGATTTACGAATCGTTGCTGCTGACCTATGGTCGCGATGGGCTAGTCGTTCTCAGGGATCTCGCTGATCCACGGCGAGTGCTCGCCTTGTTCGTCGCACATCATCGCGACGAAGGAGGCGTCCGTTGCGCGGTGCTCGCCGACGACGCGATAGTCTCTCTCGGCAGAAACGGAGACCTGATCGCCAGCAAGCTGCCATACCGGTTTGTTTCCTCTCGACGATTTTCATCTATTTTCTTTTCTCGCTGCTCGATTAATTCGCTGGGATCAGGACGGTCGGGCGAGGAGCCAGTTCGAAGTCGACGAGTTTCGCGCGATGGAATATTCCCGCCCGTTTCGAAGAGGAGGACGCGGAGGAGGGCTGGGAAACGTGGATAGAAACGACGATGCGACGACGGTCAATGGCCGAGGAAAAACAAGCTGTCGCGACGAGGCTTGCAATTCTCGACGACTGGGACCACTTAAAGCATCGGGTGAAAACAATACCCCTTTCATGATTCTCTCCTTAAACGATCCGCCTTACAAATTCTAATTTCATTATCTGCCATAAACTGTAGCTCTCATAGAATTTAAAAGTTTCCATTCAATAGACTGGAGTTTGAATTAATTGCGACGAGTAAAAAAAAGAATCGATGTTTGGATCAGGTGAAGAAGTTACTCGATCTGAACGAGACGCTCCCATCGGAGATCCGACTTCCAGTTTCCGCGTTCGATCTCGATCGAGAAACGCGAGAACGTAAAATAGCCGAATGTAAATCCCAAGAAGAAGCGTTTTTGAGAAACGCCGAGGAGAGGATCGCGCGTCTCGATCGGTCCTCCGATTACCTGCGTAAACGATTTTTGGATCCCCTGCTGGTTCGACCGAAAACGATCTCCCCTTTCTTCGGTCGGACTGAAGTCACCAACTATCCCCTCGTAAAACTTGAACCGTCCGAGGAAAGCTTTACGGCTTGGTGTCGATTCTCCGTCGAGATGAAGGAATCGGTGTCCAGGTAATTAAGCACTAAAGCGTATACCTGTTCTCCCAGAAAGGAAGAGATTGGGATCTCGTTCGTTTTTCGTTGTACCGCATAGACTAGAGAACGAAGAGGAGGAGAGGGAACAGGCGATGCGAGTCGAGGTCGAGAATCCTCCGTGCCGTGGCTTCGTCGATGTTCTCGAAGCGTGCGCTATCGCGGGACAGCGTGAGCGAGAATCGAAAGTAGCGTTCAATGAACGTTTTGATGAGGTCAGCCTTAAACGCGCACAAACTAAATAACTTTTTTATGTAAACTATAAAACATTGCTATTACCGGAAAGATGCAATCCACGAAGAGGAGGGAGACGAAGGTTGCGCGGGAGCGCGCGAAGGAAACGAGTCGCCTGATCGAGGAATTGAAACACACTTTTAACATCGACGCGAGCTCGAAATTGTTGGTAACTCCGGGCGAAGTAGCCTGGGACGAATTCGTTCAGAGCTCCGATGAATCGGTCGATCAAATGCGATCTAGAGAATGCGAAGAAGCTGTCGAAGAGAAAGACGATTTTTATCGACAGACGCTCGAACGAATGATGGATGGGGTGTTGGAACTTAGGTACTGCATCTGATTAATTCTGGTTCTCTTATACAAAATAAAATATCTATCGTATCAGTTTAGAAAATCTGTTTCATTTCTCTTATCGTTTGAACACCGAAACATGCATTCAGCTTTTGATATTTTGTTTTGCATTCGACTGTAAATAGTAGCCTTTCACAGATTGCAAGACAATGCAAAGAAAAGCGTTCCAAAGCCGGACTGTCTCGATTTGAAAGATCCTTCCAATTACACGGAGGAAGATATTCGCGCGATCGAGTCGTACGATAAAAAGATTCATGCCCAAGAAGCCGCTCGGGAAGAGTATAGGACGCTGCTCGAAACTGAGATAGAACGAATTAGAGGTAGAATCGTTGTTCATTCAAATCTGCAATCTAATTGTTACTATCCTCCGTGATGAATCGATCTCGATTTCAGAGGATTTCTTTCAAAGTCTAAGAAATTTCGACGACAAGTTGAAGAATTTAGCCACGGAGAAGGTACGAGTCGAGCAGTCGACTCTCTCGCAGGTGCTGTTCAAAGTACGAGCGATCCTCCGTCACCGGAGAATCGTCCAGGCGAACCGCGAAATTCGTGGCACCGTCGAATCGAAACTGGTACCCGCGACGGAAAGAGTGCGGAGTTTGACCGAGGAGTGCGATCGATTTGAGACGGAACTGAGCGAGTCGAAGCTCAGCTACGAGAACGCGTGCAAACGAGATAAAACCCTGGAGGCTAAGTTTCGAGCAGAATGCTCCGAGCTGAAACCGTCAACAGCGGAGTATCTGGTTCGACAGTATCGTAAGAGGCCGAAGATGCTCGCCGCTGCTTACTGCACGTCCGTCGCGTTTCTAGCCGAATTAGCGGAGTGCGTGGTAGAAGAGAAAACCTCCGAGATCTTGTCTCCCGAGTGTCTCAGCTACTTGCGAGCGATGAACGAGCTGGACGCTACGCTGGACTTGTCCTTGCGCTTGGAACCGAGCCATTGGCACAACCTGTGCCGTCACAGACGGCTCAAGCTGGACGCCGAAATAAAAGTGAGCGTCTCACCTATTCTTAGAATATTCGACTGTAAATAGTAGCCTTTCACAGATTGCAAGACAATGCAAAGAAAAGCGTTCCAAAGCCGGACTGTCTCGATTTGAAAGATCCTTCCAATTACACGGAGGAAGATATTCGCGCGATCGAGTCGTACGATAAAAAGATTCATGCCCAAGAAGCCGCTCGGGAAGAGTATAGGACGCTGCTCGAAACTGAGATAGAACGAATTAGAGGTAGAATCGTTGTTCATTCAAATCTGCAATCTAATTGTTATTATCCTCCGTGATGAATCGATCTCGATTTCAGAGGATTTCTTTCAAAGTCTAAGAAATTTCGACGACAAGTTGAAGAATTTAGCCACGGAGAAGGTACGAGTCGAGCAGTCGACTCTCTCGCAGGTGCTGTTCAAAGTACGAGCGATCCTCCGTCACCGGAGAATCGTCCAGGCGAACCGCGAAATTCGTGGCACCGTCGAATCGAAACTGGTACCCGCGACGGAAAGAGTGCGGAGTTTGACCGAGGAGTGCGATCGATTTGAGACGGAACTGAGCGAGTCGAAGCTCAGCTACGAGAACGCGTGCAAACGAGATAAAACCCTGGAGGCTAAGTTTCGAGCAGAATGCTCCGAGCTGAAACCGTCAACAGCGGAGTATCTGGTTCGACAGTATCGTAAGAGGCCGAAGATGCTCGCCGCTGCTTACTGCACGTCCGTCGCGTTTCTAGCCGAATTAGCGGAGTGCGTGGTAGAAGAGAAAACCTCCGAGATCTTGTCTCCCGAGTGTCTCAGCTACTTGCGAGCGATGAACGAGCTGGACGCTACGCTGGACTTGTCCTTGCGCTTGGAACCGAGCCATTGGCACAACCTGTGCCGTCACAGACGGCTCAAGCTGGACGCCGAAATAAAAGTGAGCGTCTCACCTATTCTTAGAATCAGAATCCTTTGACTCCTTTAAAAAAATAAATCACTTCCTCGAAAAGGTAAAAACACGCGCGATTGAACTAGCGGAAGCTGAGCAGAGCCTGGCGTTCCTACGAAACGCGTGCACGATCGCTCGAGCTACGGTCAAGCGACACAGACAGACGATCGAGCGGATGGAAGCGGCCTTGACAGATTTCACGGACGAGCAGGAAGTCGCGTTGGTTCTAAAAGCGGAGCAGGTCCAAGTGAGGATCGAGGGCTGTCCGCGTACCGACTGCCAAGACGCTGTTCTTATCCCGCGCGAGGAGTTGCGCGCTGTGATTACCGCGATTGCGGAAGCCGAGAGACAAAGGTCTGTGTCGGAACGTCGACTCGCGAATGTCGGAGATATCGTTTCCCTAGAGGAATGGCGTCACGCTCGAGCCAAAACGAGACTCTGTCATCTAAGCGAGCTGTTGAAGGAATTAGATGCCGTCAAGGTACGAGTTTCCTTTGTACTCGGATATAAACTGTTGACGGCGGTTTGATTGTTCGTAAAATCTACTACTTCAATTCTCCCACTCGTTTATATTCCTTCCTGTATTTTTAATCCTCGCAATAAATAAATAAATAAACATTCGTTCGTCTTTAGGTTACTAGAGTCCTGCGAGAATCCCTGGAATCTTTCCAAGAGAAAGAAAAAACTCTCATGCCGTGGGTTCCCGACGCGATCGAACGGAAAAAAGGCAAACTGGCAGACGAGATCAAATATTGGCGTAGAAAGAACGCGGAGTTGGAAGAGCGCATTGCCCGCGCGAGGGTCGAGAGAGACGATCTGTCCGTCGCGACGCGTGATCCTTTTCGTAGAAGGATTAACGTGTTTCGACGAAGGAAAATGCGAGCCATAAAGCGAAAGGCGTGTCTCGCGCGACGGCTTCGCCATAACTTGCTCCAGTTATCCATCCTAGAGAATTACTTAGAAGTTTCCAAACTTAGAACTTATCCGACTTTAAGATTTCGCTTTTGAATAATCGCTCTTTCTATTACACATATGTATGTATGTATCATAGAATAAATTGCACTGTATTAAAAAATTTCTTATCAAAAAGAATGATATCTGACCCTCCAACATATCAATCTGTGAAATAAGAAACATAATTTCTAACAGTATCTCATTAGTATCTATTTGCAAGCACGATCAGGTCTCGTGGGTCGCGGTTTGTGTTTCCCGGTTCTGGACTTTCCTGGAACATATTTTATCTTTTCCTCCTGTCCTTATATAGCGAAGTAAATGATACAGTCACTCGTTTTATTATAATAAATCGGTGTAGCGTTAATCCCGTGGTAAATATAGTGACTATCGATGAATGCAGTGGGGTTATCGGTGCAGTTGTTTTCGTTTTCAAATGATCGCTCGATCGAGACCTTGAAGATTATCCGCGTGGGGAATCACAGGTCACTGAGGCCGGTGTCGCGATCGACCAATCGGTAAACATGGCTACCGAAGCTACGATTTTTAATAGCGAACGTCCTGGGAGATGAGAGGAGGAGCTAAGAAACTTTTTAACGAATTCGCATGCACGAACGCATACGCAGATGCGTTTACCTGAGATACCAGCAGAGGGGATCCGACATATGAGGAGAAAGAGAGAAAGCGATAATCCCGACGAGGTCGTGTCGCCTATCCGCGTTTAATGCCTCCCTCCAGGTACTATGCACGATGAGGAAAAAGCCGTTCCTATATATATAAGGATGATCGTGTAGCCGCTCGACAGAGTCCATCCGACGATCGACTCTTACAGTTTTTCCGCGATTTTTTCAACGTGACAATGGGACTCGTCTCGACCGGCGTGATTTTCGCGTTCGTCGCGAACGCGGTGCTACTCGCCGCCGCGGCTAAAGACGGTTCCGGCAGAATCTGTAAGTACCCGACTCGTCGCATTTTGGCCCGAAGTGCACACGACCGTCTATGTTCATGTTAAACTAAAATCCAATGAGTCGAGCGTACAGCGTTTAAACTCTGATTTACCCTGGTTGCCACAGTTACAATCTGCGTCCCCAGCGTGTATTGGAAGGACTGCGCGAACATGATCAAAGACTCGGCCGTCAAAGGAATCCCTGTATCATGCGTCGTCGGTCGCGATCGTTACGAATGCATCGAGAAGGTCGGTAGGAAGGAAGCCGACGTGGTAGCCGTCGACCCGGAGGACATGTACCTAGCGGCGAAGAACGAGCTAGCCTCCAGCGCAGGGTACAGCGTCGTCGAGCAGGTAGAGACGATTTTCGTCATACAGAATGACTAGTCACAGTGAAGCAATACGAATTCGGATTCAAAGATGCATATGTATATACATGTTCCATCGCGGAAATGTATTTGTAGATAAGAACGAAGGAGGAACCGATGGCTCCGTACCGGTACGAGGCCGTAGCGGTGATCCACAAGGACCTGAAGATAGACAACGTGCAAGGATTGCGAGGGTTGAAATCGTGTCACACGGGCGTGGGTCGTAACGTAGGCTACAAGATACCGATCACGAAACTGACCGCGATGGGCGTACTGCAGAATTTGCACGATCCGGAGTACTCGGCGCGCGAGAACGAGTTACGAGCATTGAGTTCTCTCTTCTCGAAGGGATGCTTGGTCGGAAAGTGGTCCCAGGATCCGGCGATCAATCGCAGACTGAGTAAGCGTCGAGCGAGGGAGTGACCGGATCGTGAATCGAAAGAGAAATTTGTTTTTACAGAGGAAACGTATTCGAACATGTGCGCTCTATGTGAGAAGCCCGACGTCTGCGACTACCCAGATATCTACTCCGGGTATGAAGGAGCGTTACGATGTCTCGCGCATAACGGAGGCGAAGTCGCCTGGACGAAAGTGATCTACGTGAAACGATTCTTCGGACTGCCCGTCGGAGTGTCGCCAGCGGTTCCGAGCACGGAGAACCCAGCCGATTTCCGATACTTCTGCCCCGATGGTACCAAGGTACCGATTGACGCGACCACGAAACCGTGCACCTGGGCTGCCAGGCCTTGGCAAGGATACATGACCAACGAAGCCGTGAAGGACGTGGAGGCGGTTCAAAAGGTGTGTATCGCGTTGGACGAACGGAGAACGAATCGCTTCGTGGGAGGCTTTCAGTAATTTTATACGAAATGAAACGTGCAGGAATTAACGGATCTGGGAAAACTGGGCGAAGAGGAGAAGGCGGATTGGTGGAAGGACATCATGCTATTAGACGAGAAGACTCTGGCTGTTGCTGCACCGCCAATCCTCCCAGAAAATCATCTGATAAACTCGAAGTACTTGGACGTGATCGAAAGGGACTCCGGTGCCGTTGGCAAGAAAGCGCGTTGGTGCGTCTGGAGCCAAGAAGCTCTCGAGAAGTGTCAAGTCATATCGAGAGCAGCCTTCTCGAGGTAGTTAACGAACGAGAAACGATATCGCTTTGTTACGTCTCTTATTATTGATATTTTATCAGAGAGGTGAGACCGAAGTTGGAATGTCTATTGCAAAAGAACAAGGAGAGCTGCTTGCAATCTATCAAGGACGGAGACGCGGACTTGGCCGTCATCGAGGGGGGCTCGGTTCTCCGCGCGAATCAAGAATTGAACACGACGCCGATAGTCGCGGAATCGTACGGGCCGGGATCAACCAGTCTCAGCGAGAGGCCAGCGGTGGCGGTTATTAAGAAGTCCTCTTCGATGAACAAACTAGGTAACGTTCATTCACGTTCCATCGATTCTCGAATCGCATCGCGTTTTAATTTGCGAGTTCGCGTTTCAGAGGATCTGAGAGGAAAGAAGTCCTGCCACAGTGGATACAAGGGAGACTTCGCCGGTTGGTTGGCGCCGGTGTACATCCTGAAGAAAAAGGGTTTGATCAACTCGGAAAACGATTTGGAGACTCTTTTCTCGGGATCGTGCGCCCCTGGAGCTCCAGTGGACTCGAAACTGTGCCAGCAATGCGTTGGAAGCATCGCGGCTAACGACGATCGGGTCCGAGCCGCGACCAAATGTAAGCCGAACGAGGCGGAGGCCTACAGAGGCGGAGAGGGAGCCCTCGCGTGAGTAAAGCGAATCTGTCGTATGAATCACCGCAGTGACAAATCGTTCAATCTACGTTTCGATGCATCCAGCTGTTTGCTAGCCGGGAAGGGAGACGTCGCGTTCCTCCCGATGCCCGCGTTGGCGAACCTCTCTGAACCGGCGAAATCTGAACTGCAGCTGCTCTGCCCGGACGGCGGTGTGGCGAAGATCGACGAGTGGCAAAGATGTAATTTGGGTCTGGAACCACCGAGAGTGATCGTCAGCTCTGGCGCTAAAACCGCGAACGCTTTGGAAGAGCTTACGCACGGCGCGTTGGCCGCCAGCAGCTTCTTCTCGAAGAAGCCCGATATCCTGAACCTGTTCGGCGAATGGAGCGGCCGTACCAACGTTCTCTTCAGGGTACGCACGATCTGCGTTGCACGCGTTTGATGCCGATTTTAATGAACTCGTTCGAATTTCAGGACGGCGTGAAGAATTTCGTGTCCGTGGACAAGTCCTGGGACAAGTGGAACGCATGGCAGGACACGCAGAATAATTACGGAATCTAAACCGCCGATTTTCAGAGCCAGATAAGCTTTAGTTAAAAGAAGCTTTTTCTCGAGATTTTTTACTTGGAACAATAACGAAGCAATAAACGTTCTCGCAGCTTTATTTATCCTTCTTCTTTCTCGCTTTCGATTCAACTACCCATGACAAATTACGAGTACTCGCGGGGAATTATGGTCATTCAGTTCGCATCCGGTCGCCGCCGCTGTTCGCGATTTCGAGCGACCATGTATTCCGCCAGCAACACCAGCATGGTGACTACGAAAGCGCCGAGCATGAGAACGAGCAACGGCGTCGCGTCTTCTAGCTCTACCGAGGTCCATCCGGATTTAGCCTGAAACGGTTCGAGGCTCGCTGAATGAACGATCAATTGAACACGCGACTGCGTAGCTGCAATTTCCGGCCACTTACCCGATTCGCGTTCCTCGACCATTCTAGCTTTAGCAGCCGCTGAAGAATGCCGCTGTCGCGGAGCAGAAGAATGCTGGAAAACGAAGAGAAGAATCGAATTTGAACTAACAGTTTCTGTTCGTATAACGACATAATTTCCTATCGAATATAAAAACGCTCACTTGGTGTCTATGATCCCGCGGTAGGGACTGTGCATCGGCACTGCCATTGCTATCGTGGTTTGCATCATCGTGTCCAGAGGTTCCAAAAAGCATTCGACGTCTCCTTGCAGCACAGAAGCCATGTTGTCCAGAGTCATGAACGCGTACTTGTCCTGCCGACAGACTCGCGTCAAGCCGTCGAGATAATTCACCGGCAGATCGAACTCGAACGTCAGCAATTGCTCAAACATGATGCTGAGCACAGGGTCAGTGGTGTTCTGTCGGCGAGAACCGATGCTACTTTATATCCCGTCTTTCTTCCCTGTCGAACAGAATTTACCTCGAAGAAACTGAAATCCGCGGAATCGCCGACCACCGCGAATCGATAACTACCGTCGTCCAGTAAACCCTGCATCGTAGTGAACGGCATTACGAACGTCTTGATTGCTAAGTAACTGATCAACGCCGCGGAATAGGCTGCGAGAACGACTACGGCCATCAAATGAACGCTCAAGTGAACCAAGCGTACAGAATCCGACGACGACGGTTCCATGCCTGTTTCGGAACGTCTCGTTAAAAAACCGAGGACCAAACTCTGATCAAAGAAGTAAGACGAACACCTGAACGGAGCACTCACCCTGCCCGCAGAACACGCCGAACACGTGGAATACAATGTCTGATATTCTGACTGGGGTCCTGGCTTCTTCCGCTGGTACCCATTCCGATTTCTTCGAGAACGCGTCCATTCCGGCTATCATCAACCCTACGAGTATGATCATTGACCCGAGCGCGTTCCATATGTTCACGGCGAACGGCGCAAAGTACGCGTTCCATTTCACGGCTGTGGTATCCGGTCTCTTGATGAAAACCCGACATCTGAACCGCGTGTTATCTCGTTATGACAAACGTATATTACGCGGATTATTTATTTATCTCTGAAATTCCATCTTTCGAAGCTTACTTCGTCGAATAGACGGGAGTGGTGAATTTAACGACGTCCAGCCGGTCGGACGTCATCATCAATTCGGTGGCCGCGAGGTCGGCCTGGTTCTCCACCAGCATTCCGATCGAACCCGTCCACGAGCCATTGCGCTGTCTAACGCCCCACGACTTGGCCTCCGTGAAACTGAATCTGTAATCGACATCGGCAATCAGGAAACCCGAGATCGTTGCTCGATCCCCTCGCGAAGTTGTCAGCGACACGATCGAGAACGATCTCGCGATGCTCGATCGTCAGTCCCATCGAGTGCGTAACGGAGAACGAGGACTCCTGCCTACGTCCTACCACCGAGACTCCGGCTGTCCATTTCCACCGCTTCGGCGAGAATGTTTCGAGGGTTAACGCGATGCTTAGAACTCCCAGTCACTCCCAGAAGAGGTGCCTCACCGTAGGTGCATACGTGATTTGAAACGCGTTTTAACCCTTCTTTCCCTAGCCCTTCGACGATGCAATACTTCTTTATCACGATATTCCCGGGAAGTTGCTTCAGCTGAGTAACGTGTAACGCATAGATGCTCGGCGTTATGGCGCGGTACCACAATGGTCTCCCGGCGTAACTACGAGAGATATCGACGCAGCGGCGACGGTAGAAAAAGGAATTGGTGGGAAGAGAAGTCTGCTGCCAGTCAAGACGAGTACTTTCGGAGAGAAACTGCCAGGCAATTGAAAGAGATTCGCGAACGCGGAGTCAAGAGAAAGGCCGAAAGCGAATTGGAGGACGAGTGCGACAGGAAGAGACAGAAAAGGATGAACGACGTGACGCCGTCATCGACGACGGACGTCCCGGCGCCCGAAGAGGACAAGGGATCGTCCGCGTGAAACAGGCAGGAGTCCACCGCCCGTTTTCGTTCGATCTAAACGCGCGACGTTACACTGACGTGCAATTCATTCCTTCTTGCAGCAGTTGTATCACCTCGCCGAAAAACCCGCCGATACCATACGCTTGACTATCCTCATCCCGGAGAATCCGCGAGACCGGAGGATCCTGCCGTGAAACAGAATGAAATACCGCTGTCTCCCAAAGCTTCGATCTTCGAAAAGGGTTACGCGGCGACTCACCTGCACGGAAACGACTCTTATATTATGCCCGTGGAGATCGCGCCTGCGTTGATACAATCCGAGCGTGGGTCCCTGGAAGCCGCGAGCCGGGTCCCACGCGCCAAACCTCATCGATCTCAAATGATTCTCGTTACCGATCCGGTACATGTCCCGAACCACCTCGCCTCTTCCCTCAGTGTCCCTGCGAGCGACCAGTAGAACGCAGTCGAACGGCACGTAAACGTTCGCCAGGAACTGCTCGGGCGCGGTGTCGTCCCTCAGGAACAGCAGCCACGTCGGATAGGCCATCGCGATCCACTTCGAGACCTGTCATCGTATCCTTCCTTTTCCCATGCCTATCGGACCCGCTCATACGGTTCACTCGCAATCCTCGCTATACTTACCGAAGCAAACTGATCCCTGATGTCGTCGAGATCGTTCAACAGCACGAACAACGGCCTCTTAATGTGATGATATGTCTTCCCGACCTGAAACGACAGACTCTGGTTGGGATCGAGCGGTTCTACGGACGAGTCGTTCGACCTACTCGCGTCTCGAACATGTGGAAATCCATGATCGCGGTCCGAACGGACAGGGAGCCGCTTAAGTATCTCTGCAACGCCAACAGACGTTCCATTTCTCTCAGTCCCGGAACGCGTCGGGGAACCGTGAGCTGTAGAGATGCAGTAGCCTCGCCTGTTCGCTCACCCTCCATTTTGACCAACTTCGTCGCCCCGTGAAAGAGTATTATACAGGTGTTGTTGAAGTAATCGTGAACACCCTTGATCAGGCCCTCATAAACTTGGATGGGCCTCACGAGAAGAGACTCCTCGGCTACGACGAGCCTCTTCGATACGAACAGCAACCCCAGGAGCAACGTCATCGCGCGAGATTCCCATCGAGGCATTCTCGTCGAAGCGGTTTCTCCCGAACCTCGACTCTTCTTCTCTCGTCCAGCGCGACTGATCTCGAGAACACCATCTGAACTACCCCCGTGCATGTGACTCTACGTTTTATCGGGCAATCGGATCTGATGATCCGCGTCGATAGTTGCCTAGCCTTAACCACTTTTCGCGAAACCACAACAAAGTTACATATACTCCAGCATCGATCGTGATTCGTTCGTAAACTACATTGGATCGTGCATACGCGAGCGTACGGTTACACGACCGATACGTTCGCGTGACCGATTCGTTCGCGTGACCGATTCGAACCGAATTCGATGTTTACCAAACTCAGCAAACATCGTTGTCCAGTTCTTAAAGGCAAACGAGAAACGTCACGAATGTCCCCGAGCGAATCGTTCCACCTCCTCGAGACGAACAGTCGAGGACGGTTCGACGAAAAATAATAATAAAATAAACGAACGAGAGAAGAACGATAAATAAACGAGGGTAACCGACTTGTTGTTTTCAAAGAAATTGTTAATTAGCTACGCCTTAGATATTCTAAACAGGTGTCGTCTCCTTCGCTCCTTAGTCTCATAGATAACGAAGGTTGACTAACGTGTCGCGATAAGCGCCGATTAAAGACCATAAAAGGTAAAACTGACAAGCGTTTTACGCGCGTGGCCAATTTTCCGTGTCCGGGGCACCTCGTCCCGAGGTGTATCATCGACAGGCGAAAACCGTGCAAGGCCGTAAATTAGCATTGATAATACGAAAATGACAGCTCCGCGTAATCGCGAACGGATAAAGGCTAAAACTCGATCGCCGAACGTGAATCAGGTCTAAGTTTGCGGCGACTACGGTTTAGACTATTTCGCGATGAACGCGTTCACGTTCTTTCTGCTATCCGCTTTCATCTGCGGCTCGGTATATGTTGCGCCCTGCCATGGCCAGGCCACCCTGCCGCTCTTCAGTCCAGGTAAGTTCTTCGCGATCGATCGAGAGTAGGATCTCCGATCGGCGCTTTTTATTCGCATCAATTTTCTGTGGTACTTCTACGATTCTCTCGAACGCAAGAAAACCGAACAGTGCAAATTCTTTGAACGCGATGACTTTCGCCTTTGACAGATTTCCTCCCAAACCTGACCAGTGGGCTCACGCAATTGGTCGAGAACAATGCTCTGCAACTGGAACAGACCATTGTGGCAAGTGTTCAGAACTTTCTCCAAATACTTCTCAACGAGATATGCAACTTGATCGGCAGGATATTCAGTCTGTTCGACCTTCCGCTGAACGCCTTGTGTCAGGTGACTCCAAGCCAATCGAGTGGCAATCCTAGAAGTCGGAGATCGCTGTTCTCCGTGACGACTATGATACCACCGACTCTCCAGCCTCTACTGTCGAGCCTCCGGACGGTGAATCTGACCGGATTAATACAGAACCCTCTTAATCTCCTTCCTAGTGGGGTGAATCTGACCGAAGTAATAGAGAACCCTCTTAATCTCCTCCCCAGTGGGGTGAATCTGACCGAAGTAGTGCAGGACCCTCTTAGTTTCTTCACCAGTGGGGCAGTCTCACAGATTGAAGGTGCGATAAATGGAACGATCCCCATTGTAACGAGATTCATAAGCACGCAACTGCTTCCTCAGACTCGAGTATTACTTGACCGGCTTCAAAGTACTAACCGACTGCCCCCCAGTATTAACACGCTCATAGACGAATTCAATTTGATTTACAGTATTTTACAGACCCTCGGCTATGTCAGTCCCGCCCCCAGCTAATCAGCTGGACACCTTTTTTTGTAGTATAACAGTTACAAATAAATGCTTTGTAGATCATAAAACGTTTACTCCTATTCTCAACCCTTTTCCTTGCGTCATGTCTACGTACTGAGATTTAAATCAACTTCCTCTTCCTGTCTCTTGCGAAAAAGATACGAACGAAAATTAGAGAGAAAGCGTCGGAAAAAATGCGGGTATGCGAAGATGCATTTTGTAACGACCACGACGTTACGTTAGAAATGCGGGACTTTCGTCAAATTCTCGATTACGTACACGTCACCTCTTTCAAATGGAGGAACGCTCGTTTCGTAACAGTCCGAACGAACGAAAGTGCGTCAGTGAACCGATACCAGCCGATACCAATTTTTCATTATGAAAGAACGGAATCCGAACGATTAATATGGAAATTCTCTGTTTTCGACTGCAGTCGGACTGCAAAACGTTGCATCGCAGAGAAAGGGTCGCCGCGTACGAAACGATTCGCAGGACGATACGCGAACGGCGATCGTTTAATGATCTACTAATAACAGCTGCGTTTCATCGAATCGGTGTAAACCGCTTATCGTTTATCATCACGCAAACTTCGGGCACCGTCCCGGTTAGAAATTACGCTGCTTGCATTCGTGCAACGGCGGCGCAGAACCGTGAAAACCGAGCGACCTATGGAACAGAATCGGTGTTACGTAAGTCGAAGGACGGTTCTAATCGTGCGCCGCGTCATTCGTCGCGATGAATCGCGCGTCAGCGCTCCCATTCCCGTATACGATGAAATTCCGCTTTCGTTACCTGTCGATGAAATTTTGATAAACGCGAAATCGAACCTGACGTACCCGAATCGAAGCAGCTTACGAAAGTAATAAAGCGATGCACCGGAAAGATGCACGCGTCCCTCGCGTTACGCACGACGCGTCGGACATCATAGCTCTATACAACTTTGTCGATGATCGGAGCGTCGATACGCGCGTAACGCGAAGGTCTGTGAACGAACTCGTCGCGACCGAGCTTCGAGATGCATTCTAGTACGGGGGATTCATGGGACATCCGGTCGAGGCTCGAGTTGCACCATACCCTCGTCGATTATTCGTGGATCACGATGCGCACGCGTTTGTTCGAATCTGGTCGGGCCTCTTTTCGCGACGATACAGGTGAACGCATACGCACCTGTTGTAGCGCGCGTCAGTTGCCCGTAAAATTGCGATTCGCTCGCACGTTTCCCATTCCGCACGGAGACATCGCGACCGTCGTAAACACGGTTGACGGACGACGAATTACTGGCAAAGCCTCGGTACTCATAAGTTTTTCTGAAGGCCGATAGAACGATACGAGTAGAAACCGAGACCGAGCGTTCTTTCGAGAAGTGCGCTTGACTCGAGCCACTCCAATTTCCGGCGGCGCGATACCACGGATCTCGTTTTATTCCTCGAAACGGGAACAGGGTCTACCGATTCGCTTACGTAAGGACGGACGCGGATGGTTCAGGAGGCAACGCTCGCGAAAATCCTTGGCACGGTATCGGTAGCCGACGCACGCACGCGCGTGCGTGCATCGGCAAACCAGCGGCGAACATGACGGCGATCGCTCGTTTCCTCGTAGGAATCTCGATGTTCGGATTTCTCGGGAAAACGGGTAAGGAAGAATCCGAGACCGCTAGGAAAAATCGATTTTTTTTTTTTAACTCGGGGCCCCTGATTGCAGAGGAGCGCTGCGCTGATCTCGGCTGGGAGAAAATCGGCGGTGTTAAGCCGGAGTCCGTCGGTTCGCAAGCGACTCTATATAGCGCGGTCAGCTCGAAAGGGATAACGAAGCCTTGCTTCGAAAGGTAGGACACCGCGAGATGATGTAAAAAAAAAACAGGAACAATTTATCAATAAAGCGATCTATTATAGAGACTTCGTGTTGTAGGTGCGAGCGCGTGAACTGTACCGCGTTCGTGGTCGATTTCCGTAGAAGCGTTTGTTACAGCGTCTCGACGCTGGACGACGAGTTGGTACCCGACGCGAGTTCCACGTTCTATCATCGGGTGTGCGTCGAAGGTATACCTGATAAAACTATAAATCGACACTTTTAGTTGATTCGTTTCGCTTCTCGACCAGTTCCGGCGATTTGCGCCCAACGCAGATTTTGGCAAGTGGAGAGGAGTCCGGGCGCGGTGTTCATCGACACCAGCGCGTTCCATTTGCGAGACACGATCACGAGGGAGGAATGTTACGAGAAATGCATAGAGACAGGGAGGAGTTGCAAATCGGCACAGTTTCGTACGACGAGACCGCTCTCGTCGGACAACGCCTTCGGCCGGTGCACGCTGTCGCTTCACGAACGCAGTACCAGACCGCGAGCTTACATAGCTTCGATGTACAGGGACGAATATCTCGGAGATCAGTGTCGGAATTTGTGTGAGTAACTAAGACAACGCACGAAGCAGTTGTCCTATTTTCATTTTTTATGGTATCACTGAGAACTTCTTCCCAGAGGTATTATTTATTAACACAAGAATACGCTTGTTTCAGCTAAAAGGCAGTATTGCTCTTACGCGGAGTATCGTAATGCCTCTCTGCCGTACTCGGACGTGGCCCTGCCAAATCTCGACGAGAAACAGGTACACGTAGAAGTAAATCATACTGAACCAGGATTTTTATTTCGCTTCATATATTCGTTTCAGTGCGAAAGGAGGTGCGATCTCAGCGTGGATGGGTTCATCTGTCGGGCATACACGTTGGATAATTCTACCGGTGAACCGACCTGTTTATTACATTCGGAAGACACTATCAGTCTCGGTGTCAGCTCGCTGATCGATGTCAGACGAGCGGTGTACAGGGAGCGAGAACCGTGCTTGGATCGTAAGTATCGCACTTGCGTTCTGACGAGCGGAACGTGTGAAGACCGACGAGTCGAGAATAGAGGAGTACAATAGTAGTCTCGTGCCTCCACACGTATGATCTCGATTTCGTGTCTTGTCCATCGTCAGTGAAGGTTCGGTGCAACGAGTCGGCAATGACGGTCGAGCTGAGGACTCCCGAGAGATTCTTCGGTCGGATCTACTCGAGCGGGTACGCGGAAAAATGCGGCGCCCAAGGCACGGGTAGTGACAGAACGGTGCTGACACTGCCGATTCCACCAGTTGACCAGATCCACGAGGGGAGACTACCCTGCGGCTTGAACCCTGCCTACGCCGTCGAAGATCGCAACGGGTAAACTTTTTTAACGATCACCTGGTAAGTGAACCGTGGACATTTGTTTCCATTGTTGATTGATGACAGTACACGACCATTGGTTTGGGCAACGATCGTGATACAATTCAACCCCATCGTTCAACGGCTTGGTGATCAGGCGGTGAAAGTCGGGTGCTCGCTGAGCGATCGCGAACCCCCGGAACCGAGGAACGTTACCGTCCACTCTAGCTTCAGCTTCCTCGATGCGAAGTGAGGATCTCTTCACGGTTTCCTTCTATCTCGATTCTCCCTCTATTCTCTTGGCATATTTCAGCGCGGGAATACCGACGATCTCTTGGACCGTCGTGAACGTGTCCTCACAAGCGCCAATGGTTACCATGAGAATCCTGGATGAAAATTCGAACGACGCGATCGTCACTCAAGTGGGTCAGAAGCTCACCCTGAGGATTCAACTGACTCCAGCCGATGGTAAATCCGTTTAATTTCTCTTCCCGCGAGATCATCGATTCCGACGACGTTCTCAGGTCCCTACGACATCATTGCCGGACACCTCGTCGCCAGCAGCGCGTCGGGCGATTCCTCTTATCTTCTTCTGGACGAGCTCGGTTGTCCCACCGACCCGTCCGCCTTCCCTGCTTTAATGAAGGATCCGACCGACGGTCGTTCTCTGATTGCGCCTTTCGCGGCTTTCAAGTTCTCCAACAGTCAGCTGGTCCGATTCGACGTGCTCGTCCGATTCTGTTTGGATAAATGCGCGCCGGTATAGAATGGAAATCGGATCGGTTCCGCGCGTTTACTGATCTCGAATCCGTTCGTTACAGACCAACTGCAGCGACGATAGGGTTTCATACGGGAGAAGACGACGCGCCATTGATCATTCGAACAACGACCAGTCTGATGAGAATACTTCGGAAGAGTTAACGCTGCGGCTGTCGATCATCGTCCAAAATCCTGTCTCATCTTCGGCCGATCGTTTGTCCTCGGGAGAAAACTGTCCTGACACCGTTTTGCTCACCAATGGTCTGTAGCGAAGTCGTGTAGAGAAACAGACACTGAGAACGAGACATCGGCGGACACTTTAATCCATACGAATCACCAGATTGTTCTTCTCCTCAGGATATGTCAAAGGATCGCTCTGCATCGACGTCAGTTTAGCTTTGAGTCTGTTGATCTTCTGGCTGATCATTCAAATCGCGTTAATCGTCGGCTGTCTGTTGGTCGTCGCTCGGTACAGGCGAACGGCCGTCAAAGCGGAAGAGGACCGGGCGCGCGTCATCGCGAGGCACCTCTATGGTATTCATGGTGGAAATTTTGAAATTGGGCGAAGAGTCAGATGGGCCGACCATTCCTCCTCGTCTCACAGTTGAAGAGGACCTCGCTGTATCTTCGAACTCGCACGCTTTCGATTTCAACCGGGACGAGAAAAGAAACGAGGAACGCCCGAAACTTATACATATTTATTATAATAACATACGATCGAGGGTAGTCTTATTTTGTGAATCGGCCAAACGGCATGAACGTTATCTTCCCCTGACCCTCGTGGTTTGGCAACGTCCGAAATACTGCAACGTGATGTCTGTAACAAATCCCGAACCCTTTCTTTTTTTACTGCACTCGAGAGGAACATCCGGGAAACTGTTTACTCACTTCTGCCGCATGTCTGAGCGCAACCTAATCCTCCTGGATTCGAGTAGTCGACGTTGTCCGTGCCACAGACAGGATTATATTCGATCGTCACCTAAAAATTATTTCGCGTCGTTTAACGCTTCGCGCGCTCCTGACTTCCACGCAAACAAGTTCAAAGTACAATATTTCTACACGCATCAAGGAAATATACTACTATTACTCACTGGACATCTAGTAATACATTGATCGTATCGAGCCTGATCGGTGGACGTCGTCGTAGTCGGAGGAGTACTCGTCGAAGATGTAGACATCGTTGACGGCCGCTGGATCGTTGAGCCTCCGTTTACGGTCTGCGGTCTGTCCGCGGGTCCATCGAACGCAAAACCGTCCACTAAAGTCGTTGGTACCGATTGCGCACCGTTATCGTCGTTCTTTGAATAATATTAATAGACTCATAGTTTTTTTGATGAATCTGACGGAGCGTCGAACGTGAAAGGAACTTACCTGAGGAAAACCGATTACGGTCCCGCATAACGCGACGGCAACTATGGCAAAATGCAACGTAATTAAATTCTCGTTTGAATAGAATAGAAGCTCGCGCGATGCTTACCTAAAGCGATTGGAAAAAACTGCATCTCTCTTGATTAAGCAGCGAGAGCGCTCGAGGATTTACTGAGCAGGACGATTCATCCGCGTACTTTTATAGGATAGATGACGCATACGAGCCGACCAAGCGAGTCGCCACAGCCAACCGGTCTTATACGCGTTCATTTAATCGATTTTGAAAATTCCCCACGCTATCGGATACACATACACTCACACGAGCGCGTACTCTGGATTTTCCCGTTCTACCGCTTTGCCGTCGAGATTTGCGGAAGAGGGAGCATGACTTTATTCGTAAATTTAGCCAGATTCCCTTGCTTCTCGCTACCGTGTTTGCGGAAAGATTAAACAGATGCGTGTCGAACGAATCATCCATTTACATAAGTACGTACGTGTTTATTTAGTAGCATCGCCGAATGCGAATTAGACGATCTACCGAGGAATCAAGGCCGTCTCAAAGATTTATTTAGCTACCTGCGTTTTGTAGCCATGCGAGAAATCACGAACCAAACGCTTCGGTCACGTTAAAAGAATCTTAATTCTTCATGTGGGATGAGAATAGGAAAGAATTCGAAACTCATTATTTTTTTAATTGGATACATTTATTTAGGTACGTTAATACGTATGTAAATATCTACAGAATATTTGCACGATTTACAATGCTGACTATATATAATGACGAATATTAAATTAGAATTTCCCACGACGTAGGCTGTCTGGAATTCTGTAATTACAATTTATACAATTTTAACTAGAAGGCGAGTGTACGCGAAATATATATATACATAGTGTGATTTTACGTGTGCGTGCATACATGTTGTTCCAGCATTACGATTAAGTACGAAAGCATCGGGATCGTTCGAATCCGTGTAAACCTGTGGAGGTATGAACCGTTCCGGTGGAAAATGCTATCGGCACACATACACGCTATAGCTACGAAATTCTATCTATGTATAGAATATATGAATTTATTTGCCCTGTCCCGCCACCACTCGATTAACGAGAACTTTGATTTATATCCGAGCGAATCAACTTCGTTCGATGAATCTTTTTACAAGACAATGTACATACGTTCCATTCGTTCTTTCATTTGCTTAGCCGCATTTAACCGCGTAAATGCTATCGAAGAGGAAATATCTGAAATAGTAATCATTATCAAAATGTAATGATACGGTCGAGCACCGTAATAGTGGCACGACCTACGCGATTTACCACCGTCATCGTTAAAAAATATGTTTCTAAGTATTCTTAATGTACTGCAAATACATTAAATTCAGAGCTTAAAGTTTAAAAAAAAGTGATTTGGCAGTTGACAGGAATGATATAACGTAATACGATGTTGCACAGAACTGTCGTACCGAAGTTGCTTAAACGAAAATTTCGGAAACTTATCGCTTTATCATTGCGCGTTGACAATCGGATATCAATTGACCGAATTCATATAGGAACGATGTCTAATATATGATTACCAACAATTTCACTTCTCGATCTCGCTCGATCGATTCGCAAGATTTATGTTTCGGCCGCACCTCGAAATTCTGTTCTCGTCTACATTGTCTTTGTTCGTTAAAATACTTGAAACCGTCGTTCGCACCGTCGATACCGCTGTTTACGACTGTTCAGATCGATAGGCAGCATAAATCGTCCCGGCCTTCTCCTTCGCTAAATCGGTAGCCTTCTTCGCAGCGTCCTTCACCTTCTCAGCTCTACCATGTAAAGACTGTTGAAAATCCTCCGCGAGAATGTTCCTCAGCCCAGCCACCTCGTCGACCTAAGATCAACAGAATATACGAATAGAAGTATTTCTACTTGCGAATGTATCAATGTTATGTCCTCTTTAGCAATTTTAACTAACCAGATGAGCGAAACCCATTTGAGAGAGATTCGGGTTCATGTGCTGCGCCGTATGAGGGAACATGCACGCCAGAACGTAGTTAAATCCATTAACCATCAGTGTACAATTCTTCTTGAATCTTTCCAGCCCAAACGCTTGAATAGCTAGGCTAAAACCAAACACTTGGCTGTCAATCCAAGCCCACCTCCTAGCTACCGTCCAATTAGGATTTTCCTCGCAAACCCTATAGACGACTTTCTCGACGACACTCTGTGAAAAGGAGGCACACATAGGAAGAGTGTAAACTTCAAACAGTTACACGAAATTACCATCACTTTATCATAACCCAGATTCCTCGTGTATGTCGTCAATGTTTTGTTCTTTAGATCTACTATGCTCTCCTCGACGATTTTTACAACATTTATGCTGATGAATCTCTCACCCCATTTAGGTAACCCGTTGGTCTTTGTCAATAGCCTCGTTGTATGTAACACACCGTTCTCGATTTTTCTTGACACGGTATCCTCTGTGAGCACGTGGGTGCTAAAGAAAGAATCGAAACTATACCATTGCTTCAGACACTCCTAACAGACTCCTAATTTTCAGCTTTCACTTTACGTGATAAACACCTACCTGTTAGGATTTGGATATCTCTGCCAAAATCCTTGTGCAACTTGATTCCAGTTGAACTGGAATATTGTTTTGTTTTCATAATATTTAACCATTGCACCGATTTCCCTATCACAGGAAACGAATTACAACACCCAGAAAATTACTTTCTGGGAATAAAACGTGATCATACGAGTGTAAGTTTCGATCAGTGTCTTTATATCTGAAAATAGACAAAGAATATATTACAGATCCATCGCAATGCTACGAAACCACTGTACGTTATTTTTATCACGTGCGCCATACCATACAGATTTTCTAAACAAAGCTATTCGACACACGTGTTAAAATCTAAGTTCACAGATCGAACTTGACACGAATAATTCAGAGGAGTTAATCGATCCGAGAGAAATTTCATCAAATTATATAACGCGTACTTTCGCACACCGCAGCAGCCAGTTCAAAGAATCTTTACTCGTTAAACAAAGAGGCTTAGATTCTAAATTTTCTATGGAAATATCATAAGATCAGAAATGTACGATAACTAATAAATCGAAAGTACGCTCAAGAAATGAATGAGCAATGTGAGAGTAACAGAATCATGCACTTTTACATGCATATTTACAAGGGAAAAAATCGATTCATTGAGAGTCTAACGAGAAACGTATTGTTAACAACTGCGGACGTTCGTTCCCCGAATTTGTACGCTACTTACAATATTAAGAGCTTATGCCGTTCTTCATATTCAGATCGTAATTATGTTAAATTACTTGCGTCGTAAGACTGATAAAATGGATCACTCGCGACCGAGTTGTTTCACCCTCAATATTATCGAACCGCTCTTTAATTATCGCGTTCCGCGCACTGACAATTAACGGAATTGTTCACTGGACTTTCGCCTTCCGAAAACCGACGTTCCCATTCATAACATGAAAACTTATAGCTCCGTGTTGCATAAAGAGCTTATAGATCAAAGGCAAAAAGCCGCATGTAACTATAACGTACTGGCGTGAACGTTGTTGTAGGCCGGGTTCACACTGTTCACAGCTTCGGTTCACAGCATAAAAATGACTCAGATAACCGAGAGGAAGCGAATAATAAAATTGAAAAGCACCTGGCTCTAATTAAATCGTCTATTAACTAATCTTCTAAATGCCTTCGATTTCTATTAAAAAATAAAACGAAATCTAAGACAAGAAGATACTAACCGGGAAATATGGAATCAGAGATATGTTCTGTACGAGTAAAAGTATTATTGCCCAGCATTTCTAGATCGAATTGTTTAACTAAGAATTTTGAGGCATTTCAGCATCACAATTTACAAATCTAAGCAGCACATGGCGTGGCTATAAAAACATTATGCATTGTTCGCAGTGCTCTTCTTAATAATTGCAATTTTTAAACGAAGCTTTGGAAGAATGGAAGCTTTTACACTATGTTTCCGAAATGTTCCGGTTTAGTTTAAGTTGTTTAAGAAATACGAATTTAGCTTGAAAATCGAAAAATTTGTCCTTTTTTTCAACTAACCTAGGATCTTTCAGCGCACGCAAGTTTCCAGATGGCAGCATCATCCAAGGATCTAAGGAGAACCTTCAGAAACCTTGACCTTGATTACAATAGGACGAAATAATTGACATGTATATATACATTGGGTATATTGACGGATGGAAGAGCGTATGCGACTATCTTTTTTTTCTATAAAATACCTTGGCGATCTTACGTTACTGTAACGCGGTTTTCTCTTTTATGTATCGTTTTTAAACATTAAAATGGAAATAAAACGTGATTAACATTGATTAATGTAATATGACAGAACCTTTACACTTCAGACTCCATTAACACTTTATCATCGAATTCCGATTTCTATTGTTATGATGACAAATTAAAGTTCATTGATTACTACCTTCGTGTTGATTACAAACAACAAAAACGTTGCGACATTTATTTTAACGTTGATTGTTTAAAAAAACGCGAAGATTAAAAATGCCAGTAAAAACAAAACAAATAAAAGGAATATTGACACCAATAGAAGTACAAGTAATGAAAATATAGCTCGAAACTCTGTGCCTCTGTTCGATCTCGTAAAGGATATTCATTATTTTCGTGCGTTAGGTAAATAAATTGAAGGAACTAATAAATAGTAACCCTGTCCCTGCTAATGGCTCCTCGTCGAGAAAGTCTGCTCTCTTCGAGCAATTGGAATCTGTGGGAGAACAATTTGAAACTCTGTCAAAGGAAGACGTTAACGATTATGAGGAGATGGAATCAAGGATTACCAGTATCGTGGAAGAATTGTGTTCACTCGATTACGTGAACCAGTCTGTAAGTAACAAGCACGTGAATCGATTCCTTCTGAATTTTCATTACAAAGTTCTTTGTAGACCGAAAGCACAGATAAACAGGTGGCAAATGATATTTTGTCCACCGTCTTAGATAAATTTAAATTAGCTCTGGAAGCTTTAGAAAGATTACAATGTTTGCCATTGAAACAGAGATTAACAGACTGCCTGGACTACATCAAAGAAATGGGTCAGGCCAATGAAATTGAACATTTTCAGAATATTAAGGTATAGGTATAGAAAACTGATGTGGAAATTCTAATTATGTTACTTCACATCTATATATTAACATATCTTGTCTCTTTCAGGAATTGGGCACTTCCATTTTAGAATTGCTAGGACCTTTACAAATATATGGGAAGAGCTTGGTGAGCGAAACTCTGTCTGAGAAAGTGATATTGTACTTGTGCCAACTGTGTGTCGCATTTAAATTGCTGGTACAGCTGGTCCAAGAACAGCACAGATTGAATGCACCGATCTATGTAATGAAATATTTCTATCCCCTTATGCGTTTGAAAGCATAGACTTTGTTCTAACGAGGCACGTATGATTTCCTTTGCACAGAACCGAAAGAAATACGTTTGCGAGAGGCTTTGCTTATGCTTAAGAATGATAATAGAGATAATGGACGCATCAGCTCCGTTACCAGAGGACGAAACTTCTGAACGAGAGAATCATTTTGTTTACAGGTAAACCAAACGATTGATCGATCGTTCATTCCTCCGTCTTCAGAAGAATCGTATTCATTTTAATGATCCACCTCGTGTTTAGGATGGACTTGGTTTTAGATCTCTTAACGGAGATGCCGAACAAATCGCAGCAAGATCAAGTACAGGATTGTAAAGAATTATGGTATCGAATAGAGGACGTGTTCTCCTGCGCAATGGCTATCGCACAAGTCTGCAAGCCATGTAACTTCAAAGCCATAACTGGAACTTGCCAATCTATCATATCGGAATACGAGAATTTGAAATACCAACTGACTTCCGAATCGACGGATACGGCATTGAACAATTTATTCATGAACAGTTTGAGCGACGCGCTGTACCGGCTGGAACGTAAAATTAATGTATCCGTATTGAATCTCGTGATGGACGTTTTCAGCGATCCCTTTCATGCATTAAAAAAACTTGTCACGATTTGCGGCAACTCGTTGACCGCCGATAAACGATCGAAGAGCGATTTATCAAGCGCGATAGAAGATTTCGATCAAGTTATAGACAAGTCTATGCAAATCGGCTTGTTCGCGATTGCTTCTTGTAAAGATAAAAATCGTGAGTCAGTTAATCGCACGCGATTCTACGTCTGAACTTGTCAAACATTTACTCACTGCCCGATACGCTGTCTAGGAATCAACCAAATACGAAATTGTTTAGCGAGCCTCGAATCGTTAGAGACCGAACTGATTTCCGGTATCACTACGTTTTACTTGCATCCGGATAGTAAGGAAATGCGGGCGAACGTGAAGCTATTGACCGCCCAGTGGCAAGTGGAGATCAACAGACTACAGGATGCGATCAATTTAGTTATGGATTCGGCGGCTTACTGCGAGGTACATTTTCTTAAATTTCTAAGGAGTCGATCGGCATCGATGTTCGTGCGATTTTCAGGTGGTTCTAGACGATCTCCAGGAGCGAATTTTAGTGATGTTCGACTGTTTGGATAATCGAAAACCTGTCACTCAAACGCAAGTACAGAGCGTAGTTCTCAGATCTCTGTCCCTCTCTCGTCAAATCAGCATCACCATCGACGATATCGGTAGCGATATCGTCGAGAGACAAACGTTAATGATGCTCAGAGAACTGAAAGCTGGTACGCGTATGTTTAAAGTAAGTACTCTTTTAATTAGCATCAAGCAATCTAATCGATTTTACATTTTCAAGCCATATTCGAAGCTGACGCTGCTTCGAAGAGTCTCTTAACGGAGAACGCTACGGAACCGCAGCAGTTGCGAGTGATTAAACGGTGCGAACTTATATTGAATGTAGTGCAACGGCTACATCCTGCTTTGGTTGCTATCATGAATAATACGACTTTAATGAGTACGAGTTATGGGAAGAACAGCAAGGGACAGGGCGATGCTATTCACGGTACGTTATCCTGTGCTCATGTTACTGTTTCTTAATTAATTTTACTTTCCTTTGTCAGACGTGACCAATAGATTGGCATCGACAATTTACAAACCGCTGAACGATCATCAGAAGCCTTTAACATACATAAGAACTCCTTACACAGGTAAACATAGACCATTTGTATCTTCTCTTTTCAATTTCAATCATCCACATATTCTATACTTTTAGTGAGCATTTGTAAATCACCCTTATCTATACAAACTGCGAACAGCGCATCTAGGACGGAACCGAATTTGTCCTGTCTGATTCCTTACATTAAAAAGGGACGCGAAATGCGCACGGAACGATCTATTATGTATAAAACGCCACATAAGGGCGATTGCCCAGATCAGTCGGAGATCGATCGACCGACTAGATTGAAAAACCGAAATTTAACTACCATCAGGCAACATCTCTTTAGTAGAGACAGTATCAATTCGCAGAATGATATCTGCCTCTCAGAAGAAACTATAAACTTAACAAGTAATACGCGTATACACTCTCACGTCGAATAATTTAAATTCGAGTCGTTTACGTTATGCGATATTTCTAGGCATCCTAGAAAGGTTCGTCACCTCCTGTTCGACGTCGTCCACGACTTTCTCGAAATCTCATCACGTGGAGAAGCCGCAGTCCGACGCGATGGTTGACGGATCGGATAAGAAGTCTGTTAAACGTTTAACGGACTCATTGGTGGAATGCATCGAAATGCAGCCCGAGGTGGCAACCGGTAAAATGGATCAATGTTCGACGATCGGCGGCGGAGACGGGCCTTCGGTCGTCGACGTGTCGAAAGTTTACGACGATGCTCAACGATTGAACAACAGCACCGAATTGACGCAAGAGCGATTGTTCAGAGATTAAGCACAGTATCTACGAATTCTGTGGGTCCTTGTTGTAATACATGTTTTCATGCAGCGATCAGGAAACGCGGATGTTCGATCGTTGCAGCAACAAGTAGTACATTACGATGGTTTTTTTTTTTTTTTAAAGAAGAATATTATGTTTACGAACCGTTTTTACGCGTACGTACCCTGAGCGTGCGTCTGCGTGAAGATTTACACTATATATCCATGTTCTATTTCACTTTTGTTACACGCTTTAACATTTGTAGAATCTTCTTAAATAAACCGATGTTTCTAAGTCGATTACTGATTTCATTCCGATCTCTCGATTCCATTATCGATAGCCGACGTTTTGAAAAGGCACCTGAGTTTCACTGTTCCTCAACGCACGGCGCTTTGGATCGGAATTCCTTAAATATCTGCCCGACAGAATTGCACCGCTCAATTCCCCCTCTGTATTTTTGTGACCGTTCTAATTATTGATAGAAGGATAATAATTAGATACTGTCATTCTCATGAATAAATATATCAATGAAACAAATGTACACGTGGATATTGAGTACTATATAAAAAAAGTATTTTAAGCTTACATAAGAATCGCAATTGATAGATTTAAGCTACGCTTGCGCGGAACTGCAGTTAAAGAGCAGTTGAGAAGGTTGAGAATACGAGAGAACCGTGGAAAAGTGATATAATTGAAAATATTTTTGAAACTTCAAAATGACATCCTTGAAAGTAATGCAACCAGGTGAGTTTCAGAAATTATTCCTACTCCACAAGTATACTTCGACTGACTAGTTTTCAAACATGATAATATTCTAATAATGTAACATAACCAGCACAGTCAGGTAATTCGTATTATTTTAATACTGCGTATTGTGTTCTATCTAGGTCTGAGATTATTTCAAAGTCTACCGAGGACTCTAAATGTTCCGTTAAGTCGATCGAAATACTATTCTATTCACAAGGAGGATACAGATTCATTTTCAGACGTTGCAGTAAACAGATCATTTCTGTTGGAAATTATCCGGGCCATTGGAATTACACTATCCCAATTCCTTCGCGAACCAGCAACAATTAACTATCCGTTTGAGAAAGGTCCTTTAAGCCCACGGTTCAGAGGAGAGCATGCATTAAGAAGGTATTTTTACAAACACAAGTGTGTTAAATGTCTTTCTAGCAATTGGATCGAACTGAGTTACATATTTCGTTCGTTAGGTATCCTTCAGGCGAAGAAAGATGTATTGCATGTAAATTATGTGAAGCTATTTGCCCAGCTCAAGCGATCACGATTGAAGCTGAAGAAAGATCTGATGGATCTCGTCGAACAACGAGATACGACATAGACATGACGAAATGCATATACTGTGGATTTTGTCAAGAAGCTTGCCCAGTGGACGCAATCGTGGAGGTAACTATCTTTTAAGCTGCAGAGATCAACAAATGTTTCTTGCTCGTGACTGGTTTATTCTGAGGATTGACTTGTTGTTTCAGGGTCCAAACTTTGAATTCTCGACAGAAACACACGAAGAATTATTGTATAACAAAGAGAAATTGTTAAATAATGGAGACAAGTGGGAGTCGGAGATTGCTAGCAATATCCATGCAGATCATTTATACCGTTAAAGTTAGTAAACTGTGAGATGTAGTAAAACAATGCTTTAATAAACGATGTCACTGTCCCTCGAGTTTTCTTAAAAGAACGGCACATCGATCAACTGTTTATAAAATTTATTGTTCATAGAAACAAGGTAAACGTTTAATATCATTTTTATAAATCTAGATTATACTTGTATAAAGTGGAAACAGTTCGTTACAAATGAAAATTGTTTATTTGATATTTAATTAATAATAATGTTAAGATCAATAATGACAACAGCAACAACAATAGCGGTATTTCGATAGTGTTATCTTCGCAACTATATAGGTATTTATCACACCAAACTCATTTGTAGTGAGTAATAAATAGTATATAAACGGACTTGCTTTGTTTTCTCAGTTACTGAGACAAATTGAAGCAACGATGTAAAAAGATGGTAATGTAATAAAGTTTTAGAGCTTTCAGACACACGATTTCGAAAGGGTTTATTAATTTTCCCCTTTCTTTCTTCGGAACTATCGGAGTTTGGAATTTGCGACTGCCGCAATTTATTAAGCGATCTTACCTTTCGGCATTTACCCGCGCCAAACTAACAATCTTTAAATTCATTACACGTCTAGTTTCTATATACACGTCCTTCGTAACATTTTATTAATCAAATTACATTTTACATGCAATATTTGGTGTAAAATATAAATGATCATGTTAGTTGTTCACGTTGCAAAATCGTGAGGCATTAAGAATGTATAGGCTATACATATACTTAAACAATTTATCCTGATTGAAAAAAGACGTCTTTGTTCTCTATTCATAATCGGTTTTATAAAATACATTAAAAATGGATTATTCTCATCGCTTATAAAGGTATAATACTCACAACATCGAGTCTTTATCTTATTATGGAAAAAAATATTATTTTAAAAAAGCATTTGTACCTGGAACTCTTTCAGAGAAACTCAAACACTGATTGAAACACTTTATACTGGAATAGATATTAGATACCTAATATATATTACGACGAAATAAACTGCCTTCTTAGAATTTGCCAAACAGAGTATCAATATAGAACCGATGAAAGCCAGGACTATTTATAGAAACCTTGAATAGACGAAAATACAAACAAGATTTGAATACATCGATACAGATATTTTACCATTACTTTATGTATCTCTTTGTTTCGAAAATATTCCTAAATTACAGATATTACATCCAGTTTATAAATGCACGATGATATGGAAAAAAGAAAGTGCCCACGATCAGTGAAACATATATATAGTTAAAAAAAACAATCCTTCCTTTAAAGAATTTCTATGAAATCACGAAAAATCATTTTGATAGAATTATGCAAAGTAAAAACGTCCATGCTATGTTACATCAATGCATAAAAATCTTTTTAAACATATATGTATGGATACATACATATATACATAAATACAAAGATAATTACATACATACATACATACATACATACATATTATGTATATATATAATTGCAAAGCGTTTCCAACGATTTTTTAAGCATCCTAGAAAATTAGAATTAAAAAAAAATGTTTAATTTCCTTTCGTACTTCGTTCCTCACGGTTTATTTATGTTTGTAAAAGTGAAATTGTGCAGTTTGAAAATTTGACCACAATATTATAATTATTATTATGACGGTGGAATAGTCGGATTTTGTCAACATCAATAAAATGCCAAATAATCATACTTAACTCATTAAATATCGAAATTAGAAGAAAAGTGCACTATTTTTAATGATAGGAAATGCGTTTTACTAAAGTACATAAATTTTTGGTATTGACTGTATAGCCAATACATCCTTAATTATTTCTCAATGTTAATGTACAAGTTGGTTTAAGTAAAATGATTTTCCACGTTTTCATACAGTACATCGTCTTGTCGATGAAGTCAATGGAGATTAATATATTGTTACGCGCTGTTCGTTTAATTTCTGTACATCCGTTATTTACAATGATATTTGAACGTTATCTATTGTATTTTTATAATTATATTATCCTGATTGAAAAAAGACGTCTTTGTTCTCTATTCATAATCGGTTTTATAAAATACATTAAAAATGGATTATTCTCATCGCTTATAAAGGTATAATACTCACAACATCGAGTCTTTATCTTATTATGGAAAAAAATATTATTTTAAAAAAGCATTTGTACCTGGAACTCTTTCAGAGAAACTCAAACACTGATTGAAACACTTTATACTGGAATAGATATTAGATACCTAATATATATTACGACGAAATAAACTGCCTTCTTAGAATTTGCCAAACAGAGTATCAATATAGAACCGATGAAAGCCAGGACTATTTATAGAAACCTTGAATAGACGAAAATACAAACAAGATTTGAATACATCGATACAGATATTTTACCATTACTTTATGTATCTCTTTGTTTCGAAAATATTCCTAAATTACAGATATTACATCCAGTTTATAAATGCACGATGATATGGAAAAAAGAAAGTGCCCACGATCAGTGAAACATATATATAGTTAAAAAAAACAATCCTTCCTTTAAAGAATTTCTATGAAATCACGAAAAATCATTTTGATAGAATTATGCAAAGTAAAAACGTCCATGCTATGTTACATCAATGCATAAAAATCTTTTTAAACATATATGTATGGATACATACATATATACATAAATACAAAGATAATTACATACATACATACATACATACATACATATTATGTATATATATAATTGCAAAGCGTTTCCAACGATTTTTTAAGCATCCTAGAAAATTAGAATTAAAAAAAAATGTTTAATTTCCTTTCGTACTTCGTTCCTCACGGTTTATTTATGTTTGTAAAAGTGAAATTGTGCAGTTTGAAAATTTGACCACAATATTATAATTATTATTATCCTTAGTACCTTAACTATACTTCACTGTAATAGCAACTTCATCTGTACGTTTATAATTGATTTTATGTTCACATTACACGTCCTATATTCATCGAATTTTAATCAATACTTTGTTTAGATCGCTTACGATGGTAATTTCTTGCTAACGCATGGATGATCGTTACTAAGAAGTAACATACCATCAACATCACGAATTTATCGAACAGCCATGAGATCGTCGTCGATCCATCCTGAAAGTAAAGAACGATATTTAAAAACGTGTCGTTATAGTTCACGCGCAACGAAACAAGAAATCTGAACGTACCATCGACGACTTGTCGTGCAACTTCTGTTTCTGTTCGATAAGATACTTTTTTAATGGCTCTTGAAACTTCGAGCCAATGACGGGTACATTCGCTAAGAGTTTTATAAATTTATCTAGAAGCTCTTCGTTGAAAGCTATGATCACTGCAAGTTGTTGAATATGCATTTTTATAATTGCCTTCCCTATAAGTGTAGCTCCGAAGAACGTCCAAAAGGGAATCAGATAATGTCCACATGTCAAGCCCGCGAGGTCAAACAACGGATTGGGAATCTGTAATTTTTTATTTTACGCAAAATACAAATCGTAAGACGCGATATTTATTCGATATAGGAGTTACTCACTGAAGCACAGGCAAGGATTCCCCAAAAGCCTGCTTTTTGTACAAAATGTTTCATAGTTAGTTTCAGACGTATTAGTAACGACACATTCTCTCCATTCTCTAAAGCTTCTAAAGCTTCTAGCTCTTTCAAATCTTCTTGATCGAACTTCTCGTTTCTATTATTCTGTCTGCTAGTCCGCGCAGCTCTAGCCATGAAATACGGCGGCAGCTCGCCCAGCGCTGTGCCAGCTCCCCAGAGCATAGCTTCTATACGTACTTTTCTCATGATATTTAATATTCCTGCTGTCCACAACGGATCGACCGTCGTCGGGCATATAATTTGATCAGGATACGGTGGCTCAGGAAAGTTAAGAGCACCGCACTCATAAGCAGCCATAGTGACGGCCGCTATGTGTGGTCCTAAATAAAGTACAAAAGTGTGCAAGCCTGTCCCGAGACCTACACTGGAAAGAACGCCTAAACCTATCCAATACAACCACCACATCACTTTTGTTTCCCATGCTTTTAATATCTGGAAATGGAGAAGAAATTCACGATTTTAAAAGACAGTTTTGGATCGAACGAACTTCCACCCGTTTCTGCTGATATCAATGGAAACTTACATGTTGATGTGGACCAGGAGTTCTGTTCAATACCACAAACAATATACTTAGTATCACTATATTCAATACTATTTTTTTATAATGTAATGCCTTTCGTCCTAGACTATATATATTATTAAAAATTTCCCGAAAAAAATAATTCAACGTAATTATTGGATGCTGCCATAGCGTTAGATGATCGGAATCTATGTGAAACTCGTCGTTGAAATTATTTAAATCGTCTGGGAACAGTGTTACTAATCTTCTCCCATCTATGTTTTGTTGAGCACCATTTACAGGATCTTTTATACGTCGCGTGGCAGTGGTATTTTCCAACATGGTACTTCTCAGTTGATTATTCTATAAGAATATTAAAGCGTGCGAAAGATTGTGGAATACGAACACGAAGAGGAATGTACAGAAATATGAATTATATTACAGACATTAATTGTTACATTAAAAGAATTAACGAGTGCAGTGTTATCTAATAAAAAAAACATGTTCGATCAGTACATGACTGTAAGTTTCACGTGCAATCTATAAAAAAATCTTAGAAGATCCTGTGTTAAAATGAAATTATTGTAGTAGTTATTTGAAAATTAGTGGTACTTCATTACAGTTTGTATCAAGCAACAATTTCTTGTGAAGCTCGTTACACCGAACTAGTTAATGTTACCGGCATTAGATTAATGATCACATGCAATTTAACATGGTTGAAGTTTGTGTGACGACAAAGAGCACAAGACATTTGCAGAGTGTACACGTTTTTGTACCATGTTTATGCTGTTCCCTAAAATGGCCAGGTATTCTTTTAACAAGCCTTTAAATCGTTTGTGATAGTTCGTAAAGTTCATTGAGCCCCTGCTATCCATGTAAAAAAGAGTGTCTTCAAAATTCTCTGTAGTACCACTGGTAACAATCAAACTGGAAGCAGTGCTCATTTTTCAATCTAATCTTCCTCACACCATCATCAAGCTGCATAAATCTATTTATGTCACTATCGACTGATGACTAATTCCATTTCAATCACGGACAAATAAATCTACTGTTTGTCGTAACTTTAAATTACTAGTTACTAACACCCTGTGTAACACAAAATAAAATTGAGCAAAAATGTATAATCGTTATGTAATGAGA